TTACTTTTTATATTAATGTAAAAATATCTTGGTTCCATTGTTCATAGCCTTACTTTTTATATTAATGTAAAAATATCTTGGTTCCATTGTTCATAGCCTTACTTTTTATATTAATGTAAAAAGATCTTGGTTCCATTGTTCATAGCCTTACTTTTTATATTAAGTAAAAATATCTTGGTTCCATTGTTCATAGCCTTACTTTTTATATTAAGTAAAAATATCTTGGTTCCATTGTTCATAGCCTTACTTTTTATATTAATGTAAAAATATCTTGGTTCCATTGTTAATAGCCTTACTCTTTATATTAATGTAAAAATATCTTGGTTCCATTGTTCATAACCTTATTTTTATTCTAAAGTTAATTAATTGATTTTGTGTTTGGGGAATGTGAGTTGGTCTTCATCATAACTCTATATTATTAAAAAGGCCATGAAATTGATTTGTTTTATTGTACTTGTTTAGTGACCTAGACTCGTTTCAATTATTCCTAATATAAACATCATTTGTCCAGTTTTTTTTTAGTTTTACGTTTAACATAAAATCAGTAAGCTGTGAAAGCTACCTGTGTGCCACATCTTGTTCATTATTGGTTCGTATTCCTTTAACCCATCCAGCCTCATTTCAATCCCAAGTACTTTAGTGTGTTTAAACTAGAAAAATGTTATCACTTACTTAAGAATTTTGTGACTGAGACTGATTTCTGTATCAACTAGGTACTTGAAAATGGGGACTTGAGAATTAGTGATGTTTTAGTAACAGACAAAGGTGAATATACATGCTATGCCACAAATAAGTTTGGAGACATTTCTGCAAGAGGCAGGCTGGATGTCAAAGGTAATTACCTATATTGTCCTAGTGCTACTCACTTGTTAATATGAGTGAAATTAAAACAGAACTAAGCAAGCTGCGATGTAACAATTCAAAAGTATTTTTTGTTGACTTGTGAATTTTTTTGGTCTAGAGTGTTAATCCTAGACATTAACAATCTGTCCACTGTTAAAAATAGAATCCTAGAGGTTAAACACGTGTTTCAAAACCCAGTTTTCCACTGTTAAAAATAGAATCCTAGAGGTTAAACACGTGTTTCAAAACCCAGTTTTCCACTGTTAAAAATAGAATCCTAGAGGTTAAACACGTGTTTCAAAACCCAGTTTTCCACTGTTAAAGAAATAGTTATAAATATTAAGCACCAGGCGAGAAACCAAATTTTCTCAGTATAAACATCGAGGATTTTACTTTGGTTTACCAATGTGTTTGTAGGCAAAACTAAATAGCTTATTAGTTACATATTTTGTCATTAAGTTTAACTTTTTATTTTAGTATATGAATATGCCTTTTGAAAATGTGCCAAAATAACACTTAGGTAGCTTTTCATCAGTTAATCTATACTTATTTATAACTGAAAAAATAATACTTAGGTAGCTTTTTATCAGTTAATCTCTGATTATTTATAACTGAAAAAAATAATACTTAGGTAGCTTTTCATCAGTTAATCTATGCATATTTATAACTGAAAAAAATTATACTTAGGTAGCTTTTCATCAGTTAATCTATACTTATTTATAACTGAAAAAAATAATACTTAGGTAGCTTTTCATCAGTTAATCTATGCATATTTATAACTGAAAAAAATTATACTTAGGTAGCTTTTCATCAGTTAATCTA